AAATTCCATGCTATTATTCTTCCAATTCTGGCCTCCTCTTTTCCTTGATTTTCTTCCCAAATTTCTCCTAAGAATTCTCTCCTAATGGCTAATTCAAACCTATTTATTATGTCTTGAATTGCTTTGTTTTCATTAACTTCTTCTGAAGCAGGATTCCACTTATAATAATATTAGATAATATTACTGTCTTCTTCATTTAGACCAACAAACCAGTCATGAACTATCCATTCAAAGGTGACTTCAATAAATCTAACTGCTTGTAAGGCATTCCAATTTTTACGGCTATTCAAGTAGCTTGGGCCCAGTCACTAATGACCTTCTCTGGGTCAATAATACAATCTAAATCTAGCCAAATACCATTAGTACTAATTATATGTTCTTTGATTCTAACTAGCATTTCAAGTCTAGATTGATTCCCAAATCTTTTACTCTTTTTATCGTATATCACTTCATATGTTAGATTTCTATTTTTTCTATAGCTTTGGCATGCTGGATTCTACTCCAGGTGGCACTAGAAATTTTGTTGGGGTTATATTATGATGTGTCTCATCCTTTTCTTCTTCACTTTCCTCTTCTATTTCCTCCTTCTGGGTATTCATTTTCATATTTTCTAATTGGTTAGTAGTTATAGTAATATGTCTGCACAGATTATCTAGTTCTACTATATTTATTTTCTTCTTCTAAGAATTTTTGTTCAAGTTCTTTCAACTTTTCTTCTTGGGTTTTTAACATAAAAAGTGTTATTCCTTTTGATTTAGGCCTTTCTGTGAAAATCTTCAGGATTATTTTAAATCCTTCATTTCTATTTATAATATTTCGCTTACTACAAACTGATATTATAGTATCTTGTAGATCATTGAGTTGTGTCTAGATCTTATAAAAATTTTTATTTATATCACTTTCTAGTTGTTGAATTATTCTGTTATACATTTTTAAGCTTTTATTGCAAATTTTCCAACGATTGCTTTTAATATCTCGAAAATTTCTTCTATTTTGATTTCTATCTCTCTTACTTGAGATATCAGAGTCTTTGAGTCTTTAATAGACCTTATTTCTTTTTTTATTTCTTTCAAATTTCTAGAGTTTTTGACATTATTTATTCTTTCTTTAATAGAATCAAATTCTTGAGAAAGGGATTTTTTCATTTCTTTAATTCTTCTTAGGGTATTTTCATTAATTGTTTCTATTTTTAGAATATTATCTATGATAATTGTATCTTCTATATCTATTATACTTTTCCCTAATGTATTGAGTAAATATATGTTAATTTGATTTATTTGTTCATTGCTCATGTTGATAGAAATGTATTAATAATATTTCTTAATGTATTTATTCTTTTTTTTTTTTGTTCTTATTTTGTAATTAAGAGTTCTAACTCTTATTGTACTTTCAATACTTACTTCTAGAGCTTCTCTTTCTAAGTTTGCTAAGTTTCTCTTTTTGAATTGAACTAGTTGCTCAATTTCATTACAAATTCTAATTAATCTATCTCTATAGAGTATTCATTGGTTCATTATATTTTATTGAGATTATAGTGTTACTTTTTTAAAACTTAAAGGACTATTCTATTTAAATTCTAAGTTAATTCTTCTATTAAAACTAACAAAAATCTTGTACGGTAGACCATTCTGATATATTTTCCAAAGTTTATAGACTACTTAAAAATAAAACATACTTTTTAGACTAAAATGAAATCAAGTTGATAACTAATAAACTAATTTTTGAATTAAGCCTATTTAAAAGTTTTTATAGATTGAAACGGTTATTTTCTAACATTTCTCACTAACTTGTCAAGGTGTTTGCAATATATTAAATTTTAAAAGAAGAGTTATTAAATATATTATAATTTTGTATTAAAGTAATGCTTATATCAAATTTTACTTAATTTTATCAAATTCTATTTTCCCTTACATAAAAATTTAAATATGAAAAATTTGCTTCAGTAGGTCATTATAGTTTATACTGGTTCTTTTACTGGTGACACCATCTTCCAAAAAAGTTTCTAGTCATCTGCTTAAAGATTGAGGTTACATGATTATACAAAAGCAACCTAATTAACCAGAGTGCTAAATTGAAAATAATTATTTGTTCAAAATGCACAAAACAACCCTCAAAATTGATGATTTAGAAAATGAAAGAAAATGATATCCTGCACAAGCTATAAGATGAACAACATAGCCAAAGAAAAATATAGGATCTATTCCATTAAGTTCTCTTCCACAATCTATAGGTTTCAAATCAAGTTCATAATCATTAATCTAAAGAAAAGGCTCATTCAACAACTCTCTAACTCAAAGCCTGAAAGATAGGTTCTTACCCCCACAAAATAAAGACTGGTAATGAAATCCAAGCACTTTACCATAATTAAAAAATAAAAAATATGATAATTTAAAGGCAATATCTAATTTTCAAAATTAACTTTCTTGCAGATTTGAACTAGTGCATTTACGACGTGGATATTCAAAGCTAATTTCTAAAATGCACATCCCAGATGAATAAATGTTGGCCATTTTTATTATAACTTATAAGTTTCTTTGTATAACCCATTAAACAAAACCAAAAAAGACGATTAGAGAAAAAAATCCAGAGTCATTACCTGGTAATGGTGCTAAGAATTGTAGAATGATAGCAAAGAAGCAAGGGTCTATAAGTATCAAATGCTATAGAAAGAGATTAAAAAAATCCATTACAATTGCAATTTTTCCAGCAAATCTTAAGGAAAGAGAAAAAAATGTTATCATATTAAACCCCGAAATCAAAATTAACATGCCAAATTAACATTTTATCCACCTTACTTAGTCATTAAAGAGACAAATTGAGGAGAAATGATAAGATGACAACCTCATTGACCTCCACCTAACTGCTGGCAACCATTAAAGTGCGAGTTAGCCATGAAAATAAAAAAAATTGAATGAAATATGAGAAAGGATTTGGAGTAACAAAAGATCAGATCAGAAAAGAATAAAGAAAGCAAGCCTTTAGCAAGCATGAATGGAAGATGACAATTCATGTTTCTAACCCCACCATATGACTAAAAAGCACAAACCCAAAAGGCCAAAATCGCTTGCCGTCAGCAAGAGCAGATGCAGCAATATGGCAAACTCTGAAGAATACACCTTGAGCCACAGGTCGAGAGCTTTGAAAGATCTAGAATTAAATATCTAAACAGATTTCATGTTATTATCAAATATGCAGCCATCCCCATGACTTATTACAATCAAGAGAGAGATCAAGGTAAAACAACAAAAACAAATAAATTGCATATTATAGGTAAAACAACAAAAACAAAGAAATAACATATTATAATCAAGTAAAAAAAATCAAGTAAAAAAATAAAGACAAAGAAATCACATATTACGGCCAACATAATAACACGAATACACCCATATGCAGAACTATAATAAAACAATGTGTAAAAAAATTCAAAGGGAAACACTTATGGTTTAGAAACAAAAGTAAAATGCAATCACAGACATACCAAATCGAACAAAAAAAGATTGGTCGACCAACCAAATCTAGCAAGGGAGATGCCAACCCAACACATAGATCCAACAATAACTGAGACGATCAATCTCCCACATGCTTGAACCAAAGAGAAAATGATAAATAAAAAGACGAAAAAAAATTAAAAAAGAAAAACTTTCACCATACCATTGGTGGAGATCTGGTCACTGGCTCTTCTCCTCTTTCTTCCCAATAGCACTCTTTCACATGCTTCTAGGTTTCCCACTTTTCCAATGGATCTTAATCAAATTTGACTCATGCCCACCATTAGAGAAGTCCCATGAACAGCAGTGATCTCTTCCCCTTGAGTCTCAGTCAGCAATCTTTCATTGTCTCCTTCTCTTTCTCAACCTTTTTCAAACCAGTGGCAAATCTTCGTCCCTTTCCACATTCTTACTGTCGAAGATGGAGCATCTTGCCTCAACTTTAATATCACTTTGCTTAGGTGCACAAACCTCTTCGAGCTTTCCTTGTCCCTCTCGTGGCCCTACAAACTCTGTCATTACCCTTGTTCTTTTGGTGCAAGAGTTAGTGCAAGATTTCCATGACCACAAAATCCTTATCTTTCCCTTCAGGTGCTCAAATCTCAAAATCTAGCTCAAACTTTCCTCTTCCATGATCAACGACTTAAGATCAGATTTTTGAAGACCGAATCAAACGTGGATAAGGAAATGATCATAAAAAACATAGAAAAGCTATAAGATGAAACCATTGCTATTCAGTGAGCTACTTAAATCTTAAAATTCAAGAAAAAGTTTATTCTTTAATGATTGACAACTGAAGGAAGATTTTGGCAAACAGAATTAAGTGTGTAAGCAGAAATCTGATTGAATCAACTTGCCTTTGTGTTGAAATGACCTAAAAACCATTGCAACATGTGAAATGGAGAAACAAAGAAAGGAAGGCACAATGGGAAGAGGTTAGGAAATGACAGACATGGCCCCTATAACAGGTGAAATGGAGAAACAAAGTTATGAGAGCAAAAGTGAAAATTTGGTATTAAATGACAAGAAAACCACTGATGACTTGTAAAATAGAATGAGAAAACTTGGAGGACAAAAGTGAAAAAATAAAAATTACTGTAGCAATGTGAGAGGCGGGCTTCCGCCCATTTACTTATTTGATACTCACCACAGAGCCCCAGATCCAAAGCCTCACAGAGACAATGAACCAAAGTGAATAATAATAATAGAGAGTAGGGTTTGTTCCTCTTTCATTTCATTTTATTATTATTATTGTTTTAGTAATAAAAATTTCGAACAAATGTAAGACTACAAACTCCAAATTTAAAACTTTTTCATTTTTTTTTAACTTTCTTTTTATAGATGAATAACTTAAAAAAACTATTTTAGAATTTAGATTATTTTATATTATAAAATATTAATTCTTCAATAAGAAATAGTCTCTTATATTGAAGGTTGCCTTCATTAAAAATTTTTATTTTATAATTTAAACGATGAAATAATAAACTCTTAACAATTTATACAAGATTTATTATGCTTTTACTTCCTTTATTATCCTTAATAAATGTAAAGATCTTATAAATGTAATGATAAGATCTTTGTTTGAGAGTGTAATAATACTTAAACACCAAAAATAAAATTAGGAGACATAAAGCTACAAAAGTATTTTACCTGTTTCTACACATTGACAATAATTTTCAATTTTCTATCAAATTGAACAAACAAAAGAGAAACAATACAAAACACATATCTATATGTACATACATATCTATATATATGTCCTCCTATCAAACTGAATGTCAGGCATAGAAGCTGTTCCTTTCTTCAAAAACTAAACTAAAATCAAACTCAACACATGTTCAAACTTTTGAAACTAAAAATGCACCACTATAAGCAAAAGACTCATCGCTATATGGATGGAGCGTACTTCCCTTGGAGGAGTCCTCATAACATGATGAACTTGTGGCTGACTCAGCATTGGGATTCATCCCGGCAATCTACGTGATGTTTTCAATCTCTTTTACCACTTCACCCATTGTAGGCCTGTCAACTCCTGATTCTTCCACACAGCTCATTGCTAGGTCCACAAACTTTTCTAAACCTTTCAGGCTTGTATCTGTAATGGCTTGGTCAAGAATTTGATGAAGACTATACAAGTCTTTTGTCTTATCCATTGCCATTCTCACCTCTCTTACAATATACTTCCCTCGCTCTATTGGTCTTCTTCCAGTTACCAACTCCAACAAAAGCACCCCAAAACTATAAACATCACTTTTCTTAGTTAGCTGCTGGGTCATATAATATTTGGGAT